TTTCGATAGATATTTTGTCTGACGCTTAGAAAATCTATGCGTTTTCGGGCCGTTTTTCAACCAAGTTCCAACCTTACCCTAGAGTCAGCACGATTACGAGCCTCAAAACTCAGCTTAGCAAGCCTTGCAATGAAGCAAGCAGATGGTGTGTAGAAGTTCACAAGACTATGAATTTGGCTAGAAAAAAATCAGCAGCGTTGAGCGCTTGTTTTGGCCACGCAGACGTCATTTCACCAAAACCACTGTTTTTACTATTGCAATCACAACTTTATTTGGTTTTTTGCTTTATAGCTTCATCAGTTCTACAAAAAACGCAAAAACGTTGGCACGGATACATCATCATACAAGGAATGCAGCTGCTTCATATCAAATGTTTGCGCGAGAGAGAAGCTGAGTTTTGAGGCTCGAAATCGTGCTAACTCTAGGGTAAAGTTGGAACTTGTTTGAAAAAGGGCACGAAAACGCATAGATTTTCCAAGCGTCAAACAAGATATCTATCGAAAGAGCTTGTTTTATCTCATAGCCTTGGTACAAGCTAATCAGAGTGTGTAAACCACAGAAGAGCGTATGCTTTTGGAGCGCATTCACTCCAAAAGCATTTAGAGCCATCTAAAAAAAGTAACGATCCTCTTTTTGAGCTGCACCGGGTTCAGTGTGTAGCAGATATGTCAGACTTTGTTACTGTAACTCTACAAAAAATTTGGACTCAAAAGATTGCATTCTTGAACGAAAAATGGACCTTTGTCTGAGGTGTTCGTATAATTATGAACCGCTAAAAATTCGCATTAGGCGCAAAAACACTTCTGAGATTGACATCGATTTTCATTCTTGTGGACCGTATACCGTTTTCGGCTGTACTCTATCGCGTGGTACCAACGGCTTTTTGAGTTTCTGCCAGAAAGTCCAAAAACTTTCAAAATTTAGGGTGTTCGTATAATTATGAACCGCACTTTATTATGCTTCATTAAACGGCACAGCGTTCACAAACGTGTAGTAGCTCAGCCCGTTGCAGTAAGAATCATCATTTCCATCAAAATCAAATGCCAAAAGGTTTGAACATCTTACTAGGAGCTCGAGTAAACTAATCCGACAATACTGGGAAAACGTCGGAGTGGGATACACTCCATGCAAGCTGACGAGTTCCAGAGCGTGATGAATGATCCTTCCTTTATTCGATAGTTGATTGTGTGTAATAACAGAAGCTTTCCTGATCAATGCCGTAAAGAGTGGTTACTGTAAATGCATATTCCAAATTTGCCAGGAGCGAAGAATGTCAACGTGAAGAAGAGTTGTAGAGAATTGCTTGAGTTGAATTACCGTATATCTATGGTGAAGAAATCCCAGCGAGTTGCAGTAATATAAGGGCGGATAAAAAAACATATGAGTGTTATCTGCCTCCATATCTAGTTCACCCTAGGTGAATAACAGAGGATAAAAGGATAAAGAATAAAGGACTTGGCGTCTTCAATACCCCCTGCGGGCATGCACCGAACGCACACTACTTCATGGTTGAGGAGGTAATTGTGTGCCTGTGAGCCTTTTACAATGACTTGCGGAGGCCAGCCGTTTACCAAGTCAGTCTTTTTATCCTCCCAGGATTACTCTGGTACCAATTTAGCGGCCCCGGAGGGTAGTCTTGGTTGGCCCAGGGCGGGATCGAACTTGCGTCTGATCTGGTCACGGCGGCGCCTCATACCAGTACGTCACTCGCCCCCTCGATTAACAAAAATCAGCTAAAATTTAAAGGACAGGTTTGAGTCATGAAGCTCCGTGAATGCGAATGGTGCTAGCTTTTGGTTGGTTAGAGCAGTCTAAGAACTATCTACCAGTAGATTTTCTGCACTTCAGCCGAGAATTTTCGGAAAATTTTTCTACTTTGTGTGAAGTTTTCTTCAACCAATAAGAAAAATACGAATAAGGCTCTTTGATCCATAAAAAGTAGACACAGTGAGATTTATTTCAGGTGCGCAAAGACAAATTATGCTATAATTGTCAGTGATAATGTATCATTGTAATCTCTCAAAACTAAACTATCTTTATGACAGTTTTCACTATTAGTTTGTCTGGAAAATAATGTCGCATCCTACCACGGCAGAGTGAATACGAAAAACAGGGAACGGGGTATCATTTGATAGAGCGCGTGCTCTCCAAGATAGCTTGCAAACACTTTTTGAATTGCAATTCACGTGAGGGTGAAGCTAAAATATAAAGAAGTTTTAACCGCGTGTTTCTATGTGTCCTCGAAAATTAATGTTTGTAGGCTAAAACCCATGGTTTTCCAAGGGTTAACATAGAAAAGGTTTTGTAGGCTAAAACCCATGGTTTTCCAAGGGTTAACATGAGAAAGGTTAACTATTTGGGAAAAGCAGGATTACTTCGGCAAAGTATGCCAAATCTCTTCTTCTCAATTTCTAGGAATGGAAAAATTATAAAACTGTGCATGCGTGTGTCTGATTTGGAGTATATGCAAGTTGGAGGTCCGTAGGATTTTCAAATGGTGATACGCTTCCGTTCGCTTTTTAAGACATGTAGAGCCTTCCTAGTTATGCTTTCAATACAAGCAAATGAAACCCATGTTGCGACATTATTTTTGGACAACCTAATATTCAAGTCAGATAGAGCTTCTGAGAAGGATTTATAGTAGTGCACAGATCTCCTGAAACATTCACCTTCTGTAAAGGAGTAGATGATATATTCACATGTCGAGAATGCTGTACAGTGCTTCTCAGCAAAGAAAAGTTGTTCTTCCTCGATCAATCTCGATTGGATAGAAAATCTGGAGAAAGATAGCAGCTCAATCTCCTATTTATCTTGTCTTGAGTTTCATCCCTGTCGAAAGCTGAGCCTCTCAGATGTGAGCAGAAAGAACAGAGTTCCTTCACAACAGAATCACATCCTAATAGTTCCAAAGATCTTGTCCTTTTCTTAACATGCAAGTCTGATATACTATAGAGGTGGTGTTCCCCAAGTGTACAGTCGTGAGAATGAATGTATGACAACCTAGAACGAGTTCTCCACTTGGCAGCAAACACTTGCTGCTGTGAACGGGTTGAAACGATCATTCCGACTAATGTGGCAGCCTTGAGCACCTAAACAGTTTCTTTTGCTTATTATATCTTAGCATATTTTTACAACTTTCTTGTCTTTTTGTCCATCCACTGAAAAAATGGATTCATTGAGCTTGTGTTTCTTAAGAAATTTAGGGACATTTATTCCACGCTCCGTAACCCTAATTGACTCATCAAGTACTGGTGACATTCTTATCGAGTATTATTGCTTTTTAATATTTCCCAACTGCAACGCTGATCGGGCCAACATATTATTCCAGTGTTCACCGAAATTACCTGTCCCCGCGTAAGACGCACTTTTTCTGAAGTATCTTTTCTCGAAAATCTTATCTTTATTCACCTTTATAGGTCCTTTTGCAAATGCCAATGCTTCCTTAGTGAACATCTTGCACCATACACTGAAGAAGAGTTGGAAAAGCTAGAACTGGTTTCGCTATTAAAAATGATTTTCGAAACGATGTTGTTTTTTCTCAGAGGTCAATATTGACTGGACTTTTGCACCCAATAAGCAAAATTCTTTTTGCCATTGGCCCATCCTGTCGCCAATTATTTTGTATGCTCATGTTGATCAGTTGTCGCAACTTTTAGCGTGGTTAAGCTTGCACACTTCTGTGTAAAAATTATCATGATTTGGCGACTCAAACTGAACGAAAATCTGGCTTTAGAAAAGCTCATAATTTTTTTCAGAACAATGCATCGCAGATATAGTAGAAAGTATATCTGAGATCATCGTTTCGAGCTCTATGCATTGGTATATAGATCACCTTCCAAATTGCCACTTCGACTGAGTGAACTTCCCTTGTGAGTTGCTAAAACTTGAAAATGGAGTGCGAAAAAATTAGTGGTTCCAGACCGCGATTTAAATCAAGATAAGCACGGCACTCATTCGTTATTTGGACCCAATTTTGAATAGTCTCATGAGTTTTTGGTTCAGAAAATTTTTCATGGAACCTGTAAGGGCTTTCTTCCTGCCGCATGTCAAGAAAAATTGACACGTTTCAAATTAGTCCGACAGATTCTTTTTCCAAATCATTCCCGGTGAGGCACGAGATGAGATGACTCAAAAGCTGTTCACATGTCAATTTAACAAAATCGAAACAATGCGGAAACGTTTATTAGAACATCTTTCGCGTTTAGCAATGATGCAAAAGTTTCTTCCTCTCTGAACTGTTTCGCTATGCAAGTTCAGGCGGGAATATGAACGACTAGTTGGCTTACACCCCGGCCCTGTCAAACTCTATGACAAAGGTACCATCCCTAAGCCTGTATAACCTTTCCCTGTGTCCACTTCTGCATGCCAATTCCTATTCCCGCTGTGTTAGTAATGAGCATGCTCACTTACCCCACAGTGCCAATTCCCAGCCCCGTAGCTCGAACTTTGCAAAAAAAAATCGATGAAATTGATAAAAGTGACCGATAATTTTGAAAACCACAGTGCCAAGTACCAGTTTCGTAGGTTAAACTTTACAAAAAAATCGATAAAATCGATATATGTCGATAAAGAACAGTAGCCTACAACACCCGCCCCGCCCGCCACGAAGTGTATGTATGTGTGCTAAGGTTGGTCCGGAACTCGGTTCAAAAATCATTAAGTAGGAAATGAAAATCTTAGGTAAACTGTCAAATACGTGGATGACATGTTAATTTTTTTAACGCATGCCAGCAGGTTGGCACTTCTTCTTATGAAATTGGGATCTGACATGGTACAAGAAGAGAAACCATATCCTGTTTTGAAAAAATAGATTCGGATAAGGCGAAAGCACCTCTAGCAAATTTCACAATCGGATAGACTCATCTTTTTGAATCTGTTACTTCTCCAAGGAGCTGTTTGTTTACACATCATTGACAAGGACTAGATTTGCGATAAATATCATTCACCTGTACTTGAACTGTCTTTGTCCGGTCTTTTAAAGTGACACAACTTTCCTAGAAGGGTGTTTGACATCGCTAAAAGACATTTTTGATTCGTAGATATGCGGTGGCCCAGCTCAAGAGAGTTGCTGCAAGTCATCATCGCGTTAATTTTCTTCACTCCAGGTAGGTTTGTTGATCTGAGAAGTTACGCTACAATTACAGTGCAGGGCTCGGCACGAGCTGGCACCAGGGAATTTCCAAAATGAAGTCCCCCTTGATTTTCGCTAAGTTTTACGAAGTACCCCTTGATCCCAAACCCGAAACCTAAAAAACCCCCAAAAAACTAAACGTCGACAAAAAAAACGTCGCAATTTGTTGACAAAAACGATATCCCCTTTGCTTTTTGTCCCAAAAACATATCCAGCTTGCCCCGTGCGAGCTGGTGCCAGTGTTACAGTGTTAGCTTTACTACACATTAACTATTTGTGAGACATTTAGCCACTGCTCTCAACTGCCAGTTACCCAAAGATAGAGGCTATTCATGCGATGAACCCGAAACGAGGATGTTCTACTACGACACCCGGATAGGTAAGCACTGCTTAGATCACATTTCTTTCCCATACATTTAGAGACTAATTATTTCAAGGTGTTTGCCAACCGATGATGCACCGAGGTTGCGGTGGAAACGAGAACAAGTTCGATTCAGCAGAACAGTGCAAAGAGCAATGCATGAATAAGGGTAAAAATACGACAAATTCCAGTTCTACAGGTCTTATAGGTATGTTTTGATAGTTGGTACGAAGAAGTGTTTCCAGAAAATGCTGCCAACAAAAGAGGAGCGACCTGATTGCATCTAATTGCAGCCAATCTTGGGACAAAAGTCTTTAAATGAGGGCGAAATGAACGATTAGTGAATAATCATACATCTACAAAAGTTGACATACAATAGCTCTCATATTTCGTAAAGTCACCGATATCCGCCGGAGTTCACCGAAATCCGCGTCGCATTGACATATCTTGATTCAAAGTGGACGAATTCTGAATCCAAGAATAGCATTCGACTCAGCTTGGGAAAGTGCCTCTGATGTGTAGTAGTGCTCGTTCAAATGTGTATAGGTCACTCATAAAACCGTGACATGGCACGGCTGTGCGCGTCATGTCACGGTTTTATGAGTGACCTAAACATGCGCGGTCTTGACAATCGCATTTCTTTTCTTCTCCTCCAAAAGCATTTTTCTGCATGTACATGATAGCTACTAGACACATGGAGTGACCGAGTTAAGCGCTGGGTTGCTGAGGTGTTTGTATGCTGATCTTTTAACGCTTGGGTGGCGCAGAGACCGCAGCCAAATTCGCTGCACGATTATATGAATGTCCTATACAGGGTGTCCCAAAAAAATGTGCACACTGTTTGATTGTAAATAACTCTTTTGTGGTGAAGTGTTTCGAGAAGCTTTAGGTACCATTTTGTAGAGCGAGGTTCAACTTAGATTTACAGTGTAGAGCGAATCGCCGATCGCTCATCTTACTGTAGGATTACGGTAGAAACTTTGAAGAGGGTTTTGAGCCATGAAAGACCATATTTTGTTCCAAAAAGAAACCAAAACAACCTGAGAACTCTCACACTGGGCTAACGAGTTGCTGATTCTAAACGTGAAGTTCGCAACTCTTCGTAATGCTTCATTAAAAAAATTATGCGAGGTAAGCAGTAGCAGACGCTTTTTAAGTGTTCCTAAAAAGTGCGGTTACACCATTTAGAAAGCTTCTCAACCTTGAGTTAGGTATTGAACTCAGGATCCATAAAAACCCTATTACACAAATTCCCACATTTTTTTGAAAATTTTTGAAACGGCCGCTTTTTTCACAGTGACACCATATGTTTGAAGTTTCTACCGTACTCCTACAGTAAGAATAGCGATCGGCGATTCGCTCTACACTGTAAATCTAATTGTAAGTTGAACCTCGCTCTACAAAATGGTACCTAAAGCTTCTCGAAACAAAAAAATGCCTACGGTGTTACTCATCAGTGTTTAATCATTGCACACTGAGTGACCTACCGGAGGCAAAAATTGACCGCCTACCGTATCCAAAGGGGCACTTCTACATATCAGAAAATGCGCGTAGCCAAATTGAGTCGAATGGCTCTAAAATCAAATTTCGCCCCATTTGAACCAAATATGGCGTGACGCGGATTTCAGTGGAGTTCGTTGACTTTTTTAACAAATCCAAGCAATATGCTTTTTGCTGAACTAGTAGATCCGAGATGAGATAAATGCCAAGTTGACTTACTAAGCTCGCAACGTTTTTGGAACTCCCTAGAATATCATCATGACATACATTCAGAATTCAAAAATGATGATCTAACAGCGCATACGGCTGGCACAAAACTACCGTTCATGTTGGCTGCCTCCCATATTTTCGCATTATCCTTTTCCCAATTATTCCATGCCCATAAGTCCCGAACACAAACTCTTGGCAAGTATCAGCTTATTCCCTTTCTTGACAATAACTGATCCAAATCAAAAACGTCGCCCAAATAGCAAGAACTTCCTCAATTAACAGGTTTTAAAGTATGGTTCCGGCTCAGCACACTAAGCGTACTCATTGTGCTCCATTTCAATAGATCCACAGTTTAAGAACAAAGACAGGATTTCAGCAAATGTCTCGTATGTATTTTGCAAAAAATTTTATATTACGCACGTCCATCTCACACATTGATAACAATTTTATCACTTTTACCGAACAGAAAGGTTCTAGCTTCGGCCGCAAAAGTATGTAAAGGATTAGCACATAATTGTAGTTCCTATTTTGGTTTTACGATCTATTCTTCATGTGATAAGATTCGTGCCTACAAATGGTAATGAATTTCAGTTACTTTTTAATCAACTTTTTAAATGATTCCGAATAAAGTCGCTAGCATTTATTATAGGACACGCTTCTGAATGATTGAAAAAATAAATGAATCTATGCGTTTTTTCCGCCTTTTTGAATTTTTTAGCGTTTTTGACGAATCAACACTCACAAGGCAAAGTATTAAAGAGATATTTATGACATTTTTGGCCTTTTGAGCTCATTTCGCATAAAAGTAGCCATTCCAGTGGACGAATGCGATCTGCTAACGGATGCCAAAATATCTGACATTGCTACGAGCTGTGACAAAGGATGTGGTATAGGTTACGCATGTAACAAGAAGGACAAATGTTGTCCGATGAAAGGTGATTTCTCAACAAAAAAATTGTTTACTCGGTTCAACTAGAAACTCTTTCAGAATACATCTGCTCTTTGCCAGCATCATCGGGTTCAGAAACAAGATCAATGAAACACTACGCACGTTATGTGTATCAACCGGGTCTCTCTAACTGCATCAGGTTCAGCTACTTTGGAAGTGGCGGCAACTTTAACAACTTCAAAACATACAATGATTGCAAAAAATTTTGCATGGAGAAAAAACCCAAATGAACATTGCTTCAGTAAATTATTCACTGAATTTTTCTCACGATGTGGATTTCCGTTAAAACAACAATCACGAAAATAAATACTTTTTATCGACCAGCATCGAAAAAACCAGGAAAGCCATAGAACTTTGAAACACAACAACGAACAAGCAGTAAATGTACCCATTTTGAACAAACATTTGGTTGAAACTCAATGGCTGAGAGTCTCACCAAGAGCGTCCAAAACTTCCTTTCTGTATGTATCGAAATCACCGTCGATCTCCGAGATGTTCTGAAAAAAATAAATTGATGCGATCATTAGCAAGCCGAACGGGTGATACTGTACCTGGTCCTCGACTATCCACAACGTGCACTCTGTCGCTCGCACTAACCGCTCGTCGTGGGTAACCATAACTACGCCTCCACCAAAGTTTTCAATAGCGGTAGCAAGCGCGTCTATAGATTCAATATCCAAATTGTTAGTGGGTTCGTCCTAAAAAATATAACTAGAACAAGCCAATATCGATACGCTACGCTGGAAAGTACTGCGATGAGAATTTAAATTTTCGATGGATTACAACGGGATGCCACTTATTCAGACACAAAATGCATATGCAAAGCACGATCCGGATCGAAGGCGAGAAGAAGCATTGATAATGCGGCTAATCACAACTTTCAAAATTCTGCTAGTGTAAGACAACAACCTGTACTACACAAAAACACTCGCACTCTCCTTACTTTTTATAAAATCGAAAATAAACACTCTTTTTGATACCCCCCTTTCCCGAGGAAGGGAAAACGTTACTCAATTATTTCAAAGCTCAATTTTGAACATAAAAACGTACAAGCGATTAGATGAAGATAAGCATAGTGGGATTTGAAAGTATCAGTGCTATATCAAAAAACGAAATCAAAACTGTCTTTGAAAGGATAAAAACGATTAAGTGAATAGTTTGTCAGCGACTTACTAGAATCAGCATATCCGGTTCTCCCAAGGCAAGCTCAGCGAGTGCAACACGAGATTTCTGTCCACCTGATAGGTCTTTAATCTTGACGGTATGAGCGTGCCCAGCAAGGCCGACTGTTCCAAGATTCTTCCGCGCAAGCTACAAGTTTTTGAATAATGATCGGGCTTGAGGCAAGTATAACATATTTTTTGAAGTATTAAATGGGGACCTACAATCAGTGGCGAGCGAAGGATAAAAAATCAAATCACCTGGTAGTCAATATTGAATTTTGTACTCAAATATTCAATGGGAGTTTGTTCCCCATTCAACACTTCATTGGCATGCTGATCAAACCATCCAATCTTCACTTGCCGATGTTTCGTAAGCTCACCCTCTGTCTGAAACCATTAAAATCAAATTGGCAATATCATAGAGTTGATATGGAAACCACGAGTTGCTAAAGAGTTGACAAACCGGCTGAATTTTCCCGACTAGTAGCTTCAACAAGGTTGACTTCCCAACCCCATTCGCACCAACTATGGCAATTCGAGAGTCCATATCTACACCGAAATCCAAATCTTTGAACAAGATGTTATTGCCATATCCAAATGTCACGTCTGAAGAACAAATTCATAAGCTGCAAAAAAAATCCTTCACCACAAAACACCTACTGTGTAATCCAAGAATTGGTGGCGCCAGCTTATCTGTGTCTGGGAAGGAGAACTTCACATGATATTCTTTGATACGGTGCATCAATTCAGGAGGAGGCGCATCACCTAAAAATATGACCGACTGCTGTAGAAAAAACACTATTCATAAGCTTAGCTAAACTAAACTGCGTTAAAGAGGGGCGAAACAGATAAGTTCTCGCATAACAAGTACAGAAATTACCTGAACATGACATTGTTCGTAAAAAAACTTACTCTCGTCTCCCATTGACGCTGAACCTTTCTTTCCTTTTGTTTGTTTATTTTGTTTATTCTGCATATTCTTCTTCAACTCCTCTTCAGCTTGCTTCGCACTTTTGCCGCCTTTCTTCATAGCTTGCATTTGTTTTTGCTGACTTTCGTACGCTTTCACGTACTCCTTCATTTTCTGATTGAACATCCTCTTGAAAAGAGCTGAATCGGTATTTCAAGCTTGATGAAAACATGGCCTAAACAATCGATACCCACTGTAATTTCCTTTGTAGTAGTGCAATTTTTGGTCTTGAAGATGAATAATATCCGTGCATACGCTGTCCAAGAACCCCTGGTCGTGAGAAACAATCAACAGCGACTTTTTCCACGACTGCAGGTAACTTAATATGGAATTTTCGTAAATCTGATGGACGGCAGAATGAATAATAAGTCCTTACTTATCAAGCCAAATAACCGCATTCAGGTCAAGATGGTTAGTAGGTTCATCAAGCATAAGCAAAGAAGGTTCCAGATAAAGAGCACGAGCTAAGGAGATACGCATTCGCCATCCACCGGAGAAGTCCTGCAGAAAATCTGCTTCAGCAGAAGATTTAAACAAGCAAAAAGATAACGTACCCGCACAGCCTTCTCCTGCATTTCTTTCGAAAATCCTAAACCAGCAAGGATCCGACGAGCTCTGGGCTCAGCTGCATCTGCTTTCATATCACGTAGCTCATCAGCTACCTCCTGCATCCGTTGAACAACGCTGTTGTCCCCCTCCTCAAGCTCGTGGGTAAGCTTGGCTTGCTCATCTATGAGAGCAAGCCTTTTCTTGTCTGATTTTACCACAGTATCGATAGCGGATGTGTCGTCAACAGCAATTTCTGAAAATGCAATTCGGTGGTGATCATCAAGGTTCTGCAGAAAAGAAAGAAAGTATGGACTGTAACAAGCTGATGCATAATCACTAGGGAAAAATTCATAGAGTGACTCAAAAGCTGAATTTGGAGTATAACAATCAGCTCGCTCACCTTGCTCACAGTACAATATGTCTATGTTGGACGGAATTCCCTTCAATTTTCTTGAGCCAATGTGTTTCAATAATGTTGTCTTGCCCATTCTGAAATAAAACTTTCATTTAGTAAGAGAAGCAATGCTATATGAACTACTAGAACACTCACCCATTAGGCCCCACTAAACCGTATCTTCGCCCGTACACGATAGTCAGTGATGCTTTGTTGAAGAGCAGCTTACCCTGCGCTCCAATGTCAAAATTTTCCACCTAAAAGATAAATCCAGAACTCCTGATGAAAGCAAAAGGGAAGAGAATGACTCTACCTTGATATCCATGTTATTTTCGGCTTGTTGTTTTTGCGTAACACTTTGTGAAGCTTGTGATACTGTGAACTGGCCACCGAGTTGTGCGCCAGAGCCGATTCCTCTTTCACCCGAAAAGACGATTCAATCATGATAGCAGTACATCAAAATCTTGAAAAAGGAACACGTCATACCATCATCGTCCTCTCGTATGTCATTCGCAGTCTGACCATCAACGGTACCACCCATTGCTAATATTTCTTTCTCATAGTCTGCTCGCTTAGCTAATTTCCTTAGCTCTCTGAAAACAAGAATGGATAGAATAAACAAGAACTGAATAAAAGTCAATCAAGTCAAATGCCCAGTAATAGAAAAATGACAAGATAGAAAAATAAACTTATATACTAAACCACCTTTTCGTGAGCTTCTTCCCAGGATCAGTTTTGAGCCCAGCGAGCTTCTCGTTCAATTCCTCGTCCGACATTGGGCTAAAACCGCGTCTACGTGACGGATAGATGAGCGGTCAATACGAAGTACGACGAATTATGTTTACAAGAATCACGAAATGACCGGGTTTGAACGTGCTGGCACAGAAAATGACTTAGCCATACAAAATCAAAGTTTTTCGTATAGAACCTTAGATACATATGTGTAAATCTCTCCTGGCAAAAAAAGACGTAAAGTAAACCGTTTTTCGGATGTTACAGGTACCGACATCACGAATTATGACTATAGTTATTATTCGTGATGCTCCATCTGTCTATAAGCAGATGGAGCGATTGCGAAACGATTGGGCAACTGAAACCGCAATTCGTTTTTGAACTGAGTGTCGCGTCTTTTTTTTCTACCATCACAACTCGATGGGCCCGCTCCAAAAGGGCATTTCACAAAACAACGATTTCCGATCTGGCGACCGCTCTCTCGAAAAAATGACACCCTCGCTAAAAAACTTCAAGGGGGTATTCTACTATATCAAAATACTGTGTGTACGTGGAGCAACACAGTAGACCATTTTTGTGAGTGACTTTTAGAGATAACATGGCTTATGGAGATAGGAAAGGGTTTCCTCGTCACGACGACGGTCCTTCAGAGCAGAACAAGCAACAAATTACGACACCAACTTGCTCCCACAATTGCCGGAAGCTAGAATTCAATAGATTGCTCAGTCATAGTTCGGCTCAAAGCTAAGTCCATACTTAAACAACAGTGAAGCACCTGATCAAACGAATTTATTCACAGTGAAAGAAGGCATCCTAGGAATCAAGGCAGCCTCCACCAGATCGCTCACATTTGAACAATGATGAATGACGAAACATCTATCTAACTACACTTTCGAACACAAAATAAAAAATTAATCTTTGCGTTGTGAAATTTCACACAAAACAGCAAAAAATTCGCCTAAAGGACTTTGACTGTAGTTACGTACAAACGCGTTTTTGCACTAAAAATTACGGTGTTCTAGAAGATTCTCGCTGGCGCGCAATTGCCGTCTAGAGCGCTTCGAACGTGCCGTTCCGTTTCAGGGTTGATGGTGGCTGACGCTGCTGTTTCGTTCAACATGAAATATGCATCTTTTGATGTTATTTGTATGTGCTACTTTTACTAGGTTCTACTTCTGTCCATTCCTTCTTTGAATCAGTTCTTTTTGCCTTTATTGTGAGGCGCTCTGCACCGAAAGAATGAGATTTTCCGACCGAACAGCTTATACAGAATGAAGTTACCAATAATACTAGAAGATCTTGACAAGTTTTTTGGCTGCAAAATTGCTTTGGCATCCTTGTTCTGTTATTGGCTAGACGACGATACCTTGTTCCTCCTTTCTTCTTTCCCATCTTTATGAGTGTGTCAAAATTAGCAAAATATGTCTTTTTCCGGGAAGAGGGCTATAATAGGTCACTTTGCAGAATTGTGGTGGCTTTCCTTGATGCAGAAGCATCATATCGAATACAGTTTGTGTCAACGATGTGCTCCCTTTACGACCAGCTCAGGCGCAACGCCAAAGCCCCGCGGCACGTATGCGGGCTTACCGCTTGACGTTATTTGCAAGCGTTGCGCATGCGTATAACGAAAAGGGAGCAGGTGATTGACACAGATGTAGTGTGATAAAGATATCGCGGAGCAAATACCATCGCGATGCGGTTTTCCCCCTTGACACGTCGGAAACAGAGGTCAAAGGCACCGTCTACTCAAATCTCGCCCATGTTTTTGTCGCTTTGAGACCTCCTGAAAGCCCTGATTTCGAATATCGAGTCGTTCCTCGAAACCCCCAAAAATGGAGAACGTTTTGGAGAACCCGCTGCAACAGGCGCAAGCGAGAGAAAGTCTGCTAAATGGGCCACCACCAGATTTGCTTCTACCGGAGCGGATTTCTCGCCTAGACTTATCCTCGTAGCGTCATAGGCAGTGGATCGGCAGAATGGACCCTAGTCAGATTTTGGTAGCATTATGTGGTAGACCCTCAAAGTACAATGTAGTCCCACCCATACCCTCTAATTCATGAGCTAATCCTGAAAATGAGTTACAAAACTCCACCTATGCCGCCCACTCAATGGAAGTGGGCGGGGCTGGTGAAGATCTGATGCGCGCTTTTACGACCAGCGCCCGAATTGGAGGGCGGGGATGGGGCTATGGTATAATTGGGGCATCTACTACCTAACGCTACCAAAATCTGATAGGGGTCCGTTTTGCCGATCCACTGCCTTTGAGCGGACAAGTCTGGCGTTGCCTAGCGATCAGATTCACAGCATTCACTTTGATAACAAGGAAGTAGATGCAGAACCTCTGCGAATCGTGGAGCGCAGAAACTGCTGTATTTTCTACAAGCAGACCTAATAATGACTAGTACTCATCTCACCGTCAACACGGTATGAGTTCTTGATCTTACCGGGAACAAAATGCGCGAAGTCAACCCGGCAGTCATTGGATTTATTGAAGAAACTTGTGTTTCCGCGCTCCATGGATAGTAGCAGGAATCACATGAATTGTAGGGATTGCAGAAATGGTATGGTGCCTGTCCCCTTAAAAAGCGTTTTTGGAAAGCATCCGCGAAGCATGATTTTCGTACGCTGGACCCTGACCGATCCATGGAATAGAGCACGATATTGCTAATCTAAGAATCCTATTGCTTTGATCTCTGTAGTTGTACTTAAAATGAGTAGAGAAGTACCCTGTTCGGACTTTTTCGAAGATGAAAGTTCTCTTCTTCATATGACATGTTTACTACACTCACAGATGCTAACATTTCAGAGCCCTCGTTCGTCACGAAGGACATCTGCTATGGGAAATCCAGAAGAGGTAAGACTGCTTTAATCTAGAATTTTCAGATACTTGAAAAACGTTTTTTCAGGCTGTAGCTGAAAAAAATTTGGGGAATACTGCTTACAAGCAGAAGGATTTTGCAGAAGCTCACAAGCACTACGACAAAGCTATCGAGCTCGACCCCACTAATATCACATTTTATACGAACAAGGCAGGTATGTGTGGAACCTAGGTAGCTTTTTTTCAAAGGATATCTGATTTTTGTAGGATATTTTCTCGATTTTTGCATATTTAATCTCGTTTTCTCATGATCTGTCCGAGACGTCGTGAGATCCACGATCTCTTGCATATTTTCTTGATGTGTAAGAGGTTTGCCGTTAGTTGCGTAACTATGGGTTTTTCTCAAGATGAGCTGGGCATGATTTCGAAATGATAATTTTTTCTCAGTATTTCGATCAATTTATCAATTGCAGCTGCCTTCTTCGAGGAGCAGAAATATGATGAATGCGTGGAGTTGTGCAAGAAGGCTGTAGAAGTGGGTCGCGAGCATCGCGCTGATTTTAAATTGATTGCCAAGTTTGTGTCAATCAACAAAAATTTTTGCTTTTCATTTGTGTTCTTTTCAGAGCGATGGCTCGTGCAGGCAATGCATTGTCTAAGAAGGAGGATTATAAAGAAGCGCTGAATTGGTATGAAAAGTCAGTCTCCGAACATAGGGATCCAGTGAGTTTCTATCCATCAATCAATTCTTTCATTATCTGTTGATTGTCGCAGATATATATATTTCTATTCAATACTTTTTCTACTAGATTTTTGTGTAATTCCTGAGAAGTTTTCGTCTAGGAAGTTGTCAAAAAAGCGAAAGAACTTGAGAAGGAAATCAAAGAGAAAGAGCGTTTGGCTTATGTAAATCCGGAGTTGGCGCAGCAAGAGAAGAATTTGGGAAACGAGCTGTTTAAAGTAAGTTTTACCTCTTTCAATGGTCTGATTGGCTTAGAATATCGTATTTTCTTCGTTTTCTATATATACTTTATATTGGCTTTTTTGCCAATTTTTTAAGACTGTTTTTGGTATAATTGTTTCCCACCGTTTTGCTTTTATTAGATTGTCCCGAAAGTTTTGTCGGTTTTTTTCAAACCGCTGTAACACCACGCACAATAAATAACTGAATAAGTTTCAACGTGCATTCGATGCAGCTTTTCCTTCTCTTTCTTGTGGTTACATTTCGAGTCACAATCCTGCATGCTTTCTATTGATAATTGCCACAATTCTTCACTCGTCATTTTTATCTTCTCAAAGTTAGGCTAATTTTCAAAAAATTTCATTCCAAAGTTCCTGAAAAGATCAAGTATGGATCAAATAGAGCAATTCTCGGACTACAAGCTAATATTTTTAGATTCTCCTAACCTGCTGTTTTTGGCCAAAAAAATTATTTTTTCAGAGGTCTCGATTTTTGGCAAAGTCATGAAACACGCAACTGCAGCAAAAACATGAAAATTTTTAACATTTCTGCAACTGAAACTTGATTGCTAATAAAAATTAGTTATGCAACATAATCAAGTTTGATTTGCTTTGAAAAATCAGCTTTTTGGAATTTTCGATAACTTTACATGGTAGACTTAATGAGAAAGCCGCGGTTTTTCTTAAATAAATAATTATTTAGGACTTGATAAAACGTGGTCCATGTAATCTAAAATAAGTATAATGTAGCCAAAGAATTGCTCTACATAATAGTTATTAGCGCTATTTAAAATTAGAGGAAGAAAATTTTTTGAAATTCAGGAAAGGTTTGGCGTTACTGTTGAGCTGCTCAAAAAGCCATGGCGGTAACATCGCAAAGATGCGTTAGATCAGAGAGCAAATATAACTTTAAGAAAAAGGATAAGAATTTAAATCAAATGATACCTAGACCGTGCATGGATTGGTGTTCTGTGGGTTTTAGTGAGCGATGAAAAAACCGACAAAACTTTCGGGACAACCTAATATTAGGGCGTCCCATGACTTCTTTACCGTTCTAATTGCAACTGTCGTTTTATCTTTCTTTGAAATGATGAGGCTTGAGTAATCGACTGGGCAAAGCAAGCTCTACAATATGGCTCTCAAGAGTCTGCCCAGATCGTTAGTCCTCATGTTTTGAGCTCAAATCTGATAGCAGTCAACGGTTGAAGGCAGCGTCCGGGCAGATACGAAAATATAGAGTAAGGGGCATCATCCTGGTAAGGTACTTGCCCAGCTGGCAATGCACCAATTTGCTTCTAAAGCGAGAAATCCGCTTCAAAAGTGGCGAGCGGAACTCCCCGGCGACCGGGACGAGTTAATTCGATAAGCCAGAGTGCGCATACCGCACACAGTCAATACGTAGCTTCCCACAAAGACTCTGCGTCTTAACCTTGGCGGCAGGCGGCAAAATTCAACAAGAGCTTTTGGAAAAGCCCGTTTTCGGCGTTTTCGTGCCCTCCAAGCTGCATTTTCAGAATCAGCGGGAGGAATAAGCCCAGGTAAGCGAAAAAAATTCCACTCGAAATTTTGCCCGGACGCTGCCTTTAACGTCAAAAGTTGTATCTCTACCCCAAAAAATCTCAAAAATTCCCCATTTATCCTAGATTATGCTTGACACATCAGACATTTTGTTGTACCCTTTCCGTATTTTTTCCACGGCTAGAATGGAAAGAAAAGGAATGGGGTATGACAAACTCCGCTTCTTCGTCCTTAGCTCCTCCTACACATATGACCATATATCTCATATATACAGAATTACGATCATGTATTTGTAACCTCTGTAGGTGTCCCAGTTCTGGAGAAATGCTGGTGTTTAGGGTAGGAAGGGTAGGAACGGTAAAAAAAATTAAGAGACACTTCAGTATAATCATGAAAACAGTTGGTAAAATATAGTTTAAATAGATCTGAACGCATGAATGAGATGTCGGCATAACGTTTGGCTCATCATGTGCTGTCAACACGTTTTTGAAATCCACAAATGATAGCTCAAATCTTAATCTGCAAATCTACTGCATTCATCACAGAAACCACCAACGTATGGGATTGGAATTTTGTCATCATTTGAAACTTGAGTTTTTGTTGTCAGTTTTGCTATTGGAGAATGTGAGGTTGCTATCAAAACATCGGTTTTCTATTATCATTCTTTTGCGGTTGCAGCTATCGATGAGTCCGCTGTAGCATACCAAACATCTGGGACCAGTTCTGCCATTAAACCCATGATCGCTGCTTTTTTAGAAAGGTGATTATCCTGGGGCTATGAAGCACTACAACGAAGCAGTAAAACGTGACCCTGACAATGCGATTTTATACTCTAATCGTGCTGCCTGCTACACAAAACTCATGGAATTCCAGCGTGCTCTTGATGACTGCGAGCATTGTATCAAACGTGATCCAAAGTTCAGTGAGTTTTGCATTTCTTGAAAATTGTTAACAGGATATCTGTGAACAAATAGACCAGTCAGTCTTTATACGGCTGAAATGTTACTTATTAGTTCCAAGCGATGGCTTGCAGTGATATGTTTTAGTCAAGGGATATATCCGAAAAGGTGCCGTTTTGTCCGCAATGCGTGAATGGACAAAAGCTAAACGAGCTTATGAAGACGCTCTTGCTGTAGACCCATCTAATGCTGAAGCACTCGATGGTCTCCGCACTTGCTTCCGTAGCAACGATGAAGATCCAGAAAAGGTATGTGTCATTTGACAATTCAGAATTGCTCTAGAAACGTGATTGCAGGCGCGCGAGCGAGCTTTGGAAGACCCGGAGGTACAAGCTATACTTCGTGATCCTGGAATGCGATTACTGTTGGAACAGATGAGCCAGGTCGGTTTCGTCCAGAATAGTGACGGCGCAGGAAAGTTCTCTTCCATTATTCGTCTCAACCTCCATTTTAGGATCCTGGTGCAGTAAGAGAGCATTTGCAAAATCCCGACATTGCCGCTAAACTTCTGAAACTGCGTGACGCTGGCATCATACAGATGAGGTAATGGGTGCAGCCGTGGATCTGCAGCTGAGCACCTTTATTCTTTCAATCAGACATGCTGTCGAGGTTTAAGCTCAGTTTCTCATTAGATTAAGTAATCCACAATATTCCCGTCACTTTGTTGCGTTGTCGATGCTTTCAGCTACAATCCCGTTATCGATTTCGTAACTAGATCTACGCGGAACATACCGGTGTTTTATCTCGTTTATCATCATGTTCTTTTTCTTTTACAAGATAAATATTCGGAATGACGCATTAGTCGCACCATCTAAGTACATTGACTTGCAGTATTTATGTCGTTTTTTCTAAATCTTTATGGTTTGAGGTATTCATACTACCAATCATTTTACTATGCCTCTGTGAGCTCACTGTTCTCATCGAAATCGTACAGTTACTGTATCTTTCTACAGTGTTTTTTATATTTTGTTCAAAATCTAACAAGGGAAGAACATTTAGTCGAAGTGGGCGTTCCACATGAAATCAGCACCAATCTGAAGCGAATCCAACGATGGTTTCCAAATGTCTTTGTTATCTGCGAAGCCCTGTGGACACTGTGTTACGAGGTTTTTACTCAGACTTGAACGCGCTAACGGAACAAAATCGTCAAAGACTGCTCAAATGGTTCAGTATCGGATATTAGAGCACTCTATGCGTGATATGCCTCTTGTCTAATCTTATATATAAAGCTGAATGTCTGTTTGTATGTATGTATGTCTGTATGTCTGTCTGTGTGTACGTATGTTCCGAATAGAAAATTCCATTTCTGAACCGATCCGGACCAAACTTGGCACACATACACTTCGGGCCCCGGCGCGTGTCATAGGCTACTTTTCGTCATCGATCGATATCGATTTTATCGATTTTTATCGATTTTTTTGCGGAGTTCACCTACAGGGCTAGGAGTTAGCACAGGGGGGGGGGGAAGTGAGCATGGGGATTCCGAATACAATATTGGTTTTCAGGATTATCGATTACTTTTATCGATTTTATCGATTTTTTTGCAAAGTTTGAGCTACGGGGCTGGGAGTTGGCACAGGGGGGTAGTCGAGCATGGGAATTCCGAATACAATATTGGTTTTCAGGATTATCGATTACTTTTATCGATTTTATCGATTTTTTTGCAAAGTTTGAGCTACCGGGCTGGGAGTTCGCACAGGGGGGTAATCGAGCATGGGGATTCCGAATACAATATTGGTTTTCGGGATTATCGATTACTTTTATCGATTTTATCGATTTTTTTTGCAAAGTTTGAGCTAGGGGGCTGGGAGTTGGCACAGGGGGGTAATCGAGTATGCTGATCATTCCCAAGGGGGGTGATCAGCATGCTCGATTACACCTCTGTGCCAAATTCCAGCCCCCTAGCTCAAATTTTCAAAAAATCAATAAAATCGATAAAAGTAATGGACGATCTTGAAAACTAATATTGTATTCGTAATCTGCATGCTCGATTACCCCCTGTGCAAACTCCCAGCCCCGCAGGTCAGACTTTACAAAAAAATCGATAAAATCGATAAAAGTAATGGACGATCCTGAAAACTAATATTGTGTTCGTAATCAGCATGCTCGATTACCCCCCTGTGCAAAATCCCAGCCTCGCATGTCAAAATTTACAAAAAATCGATAAAATCAATAAAAGTAATCGATGATTCTGAAAACTAATATTGTATTCGGAATCCCCATGCTCACTTCCCCCCCTGTGCTAACTCCTAGCCCTGTAGGTGAACTCTGCAAAAAAATCGATAAAAATCGGTAAAATCGACATCGAAACGAAAAGTGGACTGTGACACCCGCCGGGGCCCGAAGTGTATGTGTGCCAAGTTTGGTCCGGATAGGCGGAGCCGGGTAAGCCAGCTAGTATACGTATATTCAGCATTGCCTAGTCGCTGGGAAGCTGCAGCAACTGATTCCACCTAGTTTTTTGCCCATTTTTCGCTCAAAAAAAAAACACTCGTAACTCAACGTGCAGCAAAGGCTTGCCAGATAATAAAAACAGATTTGGAACCAGCGTTTACTGCCCTCCAAAATGGTATTATTCTCGTGTAAAAAGGCATCGACTTCGGGTTTTTTTATTGTAAGTGTTTTAATTCCGCATCGTTTTCATAAAGCCTATGGAAAGCGTCAACATTTTAACATTTACGACTAAACACGCTGAGACTGAGATTTTGTGCAGCGGTGTGTTCCCTCCATTCTCTGGTGAAGTAATTACTCTGACTTTCATTGGTTGCTATGTTAGGTACACTCATAGTAGCCACTAGCCATTGCTGGGCTTCTGTACCAAATCTTACTGAACCCCAAAATATTTTGTCAATATCCGAACATGGTGAGGACAGTGATTTCGTGCTGTTGTGACCTAAAAGTGCACACGATGTCCTGCAAACAGTGCTCACAAGTTGCGCTTTGTCAGCTTGCTTCGAGAATATTTTGCGCTATCGATTCTTGCTTTTAGTGTCGAGCGTTTCCCACATGCGAAGAAAAAAATCGTGTAAATGCTCTCGACTTTCCGCCTCCAATTGTCCACGTCCCCCAATCTACCAATCTTATCTGACAGCTGCGCTGTCCTACTTGAAAACGTTTATCTGGCGACTGTCACTGAATGTAGCTGTCGATAACATTCCCATTTCTAGCGCATACGTATTGCCTTCCATTGCCACCAATTGCACTATCGCGACAGCTTCATATGCGATACAGTCCCTTAGCAACAAAAAACTTCTTAGATTGCATTGACAATTTTCCCACTATCTATCTCAGTTTTAGAGCCCCCAACAGCAATGGGACGTTCACAAACCATGACTTTGCATCGGATACGCCTTTTCCATATGCAAAGTTTCCTGCCTTTCGTGTTTACTTGAAACGTTTTTTCGCTTGCATGTGTTGACGTTTGAATACCTGCAAAATGTATTGTGAAACTATTCTTCTGTGACTAAAAGGCAAGAGCACGCTTTGCGTACTTCTGACTAAAAAGTTCATGATCTAACGCGTCTTGCTTCATTTGCGGAATTGGCGGAACATGTTCGGGCTTGTTGAACAACTCGAGTTCAAACATGTTTCCACAAACTCCTAATGAGTAATTTACCATGCGTTATAACACACTCATGAACTTGTTCATCAAGTACGCAAAGCGTGCTCGTATCTCTGTTAGGAGTGAAGCCATATCGTGCATCCCCGGAATTGTTCCCATATGAAACATCACCGCGGCTGCCTTTCGATCGTTTTAACACGTTAACTTCAGCAAATTTGAGGCACTTATTCGAAGATGACACGTTAAGATGAAAGGACAGCCACGTTGATGGTTCATATGGGAACAATTCTGTGGATGCACGATATGTTCATGCTGCATAGCAGGGTGATACGCTTCTGTTCAGCACGAAAGCTATGAATTTATGTTGTTATAGTCACGTCTTTGTGAGCTTGGATAGAAAATCTGCAGTTGAAGCGCTATCACGGTCTGTGAAGGCAGTATGTGGATATCTGCAGTAGATTTCAAATAACAAAATTTTATAATAAATATCATAATGGCAAGGTGGTCATTTCGGCGGACCTCGAGTAAAATAAAATTAGATTGAACAAAACTGAGTCTATTCAAAAGGTGAAGCCAAAAACCGCTCTTATAAGTGAAAAACTAAAAACATTTTGCGCGTTTTTAGATAGTAGATATTTACTTCCCAAATAGTCAGTCAGAAAGCGAATGCAATTTTTCATCGATCTTTGCAGCTTTCATGAAAGTTTTATGCCCAGGCAAAAGCAAACAGAGCGGAGCGAAATGTGATGGGTGACTCATAAGCATGGGTTTGGAAAATCGTGCACTATTAAGGTGCAGCTAAGGGAGCTGTTCTTATATTGCACTTTTAGGGATCGTTCATACCGCGCACAAAGGCGGACAAAGCCGGACGAAGCCGGACGAAGGCGGACGAAGCCGGACAAAGCCGGACGAAGGCGGACAAAGCCGGACGAAGGCGGACGAAGGCATGTGTGAGTGTGTGTGTGTCGAGAGAAACGAGACGAGACGCGTGTGAGTGAGTGTGTGTGTCTGTCGAGAGAAACGAGACGAGACAAGACGCGCCTTCGTCCGGCTTTGTCCGCCTTCGTCCGGCTTTGTCCGGCTTCGTCCGCCTTCGTCCGGCATCGTCCGGCTTCGTCCGCCTTTGTGCGCGGTATGAACGATCCCTTAGATAGCGATGTTCGCATGCTTTGATGGACAGGTCTCAAAACTTGTTGTTTTCATGTCCCAAGTGTCGCTGTTTCCTTTTCCACCGCTGGGCGGTGATGACTCACCGATTATCATCTGTTGCCACGAATGGCTGTGACGAAGTCCAAAGTCTTTGAGTGCGATGACGATTTTGAAACCTTCTTCAACAAAAATTATGAAATAACAGGATACGTAGACTGTCACAAACTTAGCGATCGTGTTTGAAGCTCGTGTGCATGTAGACAGACTAACTATCGATTCCCCCATTGAACAGCTTGATTGTTCATGTTGCACACGCGCCGAAACATTCCGCATTTCTTTAAACGCTTTCGTCATCGGACTGCAAGTTTCTTCGCATATTACGTTTTGTTCTAAATTGTTGCAATTACTTCTTCCGCATTCCAGTCAACGATGGCGTCAGCTCCACCATTAGAAGAGGAAAGCGGCATGGTTCGAAGTCCGGTAAGTTTTCATTTGTAGTTTTGATTGTGAGAGATGGTTTTGGAGGGGTTTGTATGGGGTTTTATTCACTTAGTGTTTGCTGAAATTTTTAGGCACAAAAAGTTTTTCACCTCGATGAGCTTCATGCTTCTTGAGGACGATCATCTTGAAATGTAAACAAAATGCTGTTGTTTGCCATGCTAATGTAATCAAAAATTCTGCTCATTTTTCGTAAGTTCCACTTAATACCGATCATCATCGGAAAATGATTGTTTATCTTCGCATACAAGTGTCTTGTGCGGATTAATAGCTTCTTAGAATTGGAGTGTTACTATCTCCTCGGGGTCGTTAACATCATATGCTTGAAATACATGCCTGAACTGTGGTAGTTCTATAATCCAGTAATTAACAGATGACATATCACATGTCTCGTTCAGAGAGATTCTTGTGCTCAGCTTTTCAAAAACTTTACTCCATATCTACGAACCCTGAATAATTTTCAATCGCTAAATCATTTTTTGGTGATGGTGTTTTGTTTCGATTTCTGTCATGGCCAGTAAGCATCAGTTCTGCTTATCGAGAGAACTTCTTCCATCACACGGTAGCCACCGATTTCAAAACTACCGGGGATGGATGGAATGACCTGAGACAGGCTGGTTTCACCTACTCAGACAATGGATCGGACCCCTCCGCTGGGGAAATGGCAGGGTCGCGGCGTTTCCCCAGCGGTGGGTCACCCATTTGTCCGGCGGAGCCCTCCCATCTTCTGCTCCGGATACCCCCCATTTTCTGCTCCGGATACCCCCCATTTTCTGCTCCGGAGCCCCCCGATTTTGTGCGCCGGAGCCCCCCGATGCGGCATACTGTAATTAGCCCTAATTAAAGGCAGCTTCCAGGCAGATCTGGACCTATGGGGCTTTTACATGGAAAGTACTTTTGGGGCCCTAACTAAGGCACTGCCGAAGCAGCAGCTCAGGTAGTGCTCCAATGGCTGAGATATTCCCCTCGAAACAGACCCCCGCGAACGTACTCGCATGGATTCATGGCAGTTTCGCGCCAGGATCCACTCTTTGCGCCATGAATCCATGCGAAACACGGTCGCGGGGTCCGGTTTCGAGCAGAATATCTCAGGCGTTAGAGCACTACTTGAGCTGCCGGTTGGGTAGTGGCTTAGTTAGGGCCCCAAAATACTTTCCATGTAAAATCCCCATAGGTCCAGACTTGCCTGGACGCTGCCTTTAAGCTCCAAACCCCAATTTTGTCTCTAAACCCCACCCAAATAAGCCGAATAGGACCCCCCCCCCCCCCCCCCCCGGGTAGGAGTTTAGCGCGACCCTCACCCCGTACTCTACCCCCTCCCTCTCACCCCTAGCGTTTGTGGATAGAAGATAGAAGAAAGAACGAAGAGATAAGACATTTATTTCAAATTTATCAAACTTTCGAAAAATCTATCTATCTATCTCCAGCATACGTACAACAGTTAATTCATATTACAAAAACCATACTAGGAGTGATAAGAATATTCAAAGAAAAACTAATTTCCTAGTTGCAAAAAGAACCTTGTAACACCACAGTATAAGCATATGGTTTTAACATGGTAAGAAAATGACAAAAAGATCAAAAAAGCATTCTGTGCAACATGAAACAAAACAGCGAGGAACGCCATAAACTCACATTTGCAAAGCAGGGACATATTGTCCAAGTGCGATATATACATGAGCTATATTCATCCAAACATCTTCGAATTCCGAGGTCCAAGGCCATACTGGGGCAAAACGAAAGTAGGATGATTCAACGTAGTTGCTTGATAATAGTACTAGGACACGATGATGACATGGATTGAAATTCTTGCATATGCAACTTACCTTGAACGCCTTTTCATAGTCTCTGTTGAAATGGAAAAACCGCGCAAGAATGTAACAAGCTTCGGCCTTGATTTCGTCACTTTCCGTCATACTCATTGCATGCCACGCTAACCGTTCAACCTTGTTCATTTCCTGAAAAAGTGATGCCTTCAGATAAAGCGATAAACACCTCGATGTAACAGCTTGGACAAATTTAAAAGGTCCCTTTTATAGATAATTCGTAATTAATTCAAAGAATTTCTGCACTGACTCCTTTGAAGAAGAAGTGGTTGGCAAGATGGACCAAGACAACCGGATTCTCCGGCTCCAGACTATACGCTTGGCCTAGACAAGCCACTGCACTTTGGGCTCCCTCGACAGTATGCGTATTGTAATCCAAAATGGCAAGTGCTGAGAGAGCACAAACACTGTCATTTTGCAATTCCAACGCTCGTTCAAAAGCGATTCTGCAAATTGTAATTGAAAGTCACATAAACAGTAAAGAAGAAGCTATGTGACTCAAACATTTCACATTTACATGCTTACCTAGCCTTATCAGTCCCTAATCTCGCTAAGCAATACTGGAAGCAATGTGATGTGACTAAGCAACAGTAACAGTCACAATGCTTCAATAACAGTCACAAAACTTCAACATCGTTTGGAGTTGCCTCCAAGACTTTTGTCAACATATCTCTTGCCTTGTCCTATCTTTCAAGCCAGAAACGATATAGTGAGGATCTGCAACGTCTGATGAAAAGTCGATCGACTTGGTAAGCATACGTACGAGAGAGATAGTGTGGACCCCGGCCAGCTTCAGGTACTAGCGCGGCGCACACGCAACGCGCGCCCGACTTGAACGCTTCTCATTTCACTTACGAACAAAAAAGCATTATAACCGAAAACAGGAGTGAAATGAGATGTGGAGGCCTCTAATCCGAACACGAGAAAAGCCAAGGCAATAGGAGAACCTTCACAACTTCTACTACTAGCGCTCAGATTCCAGTCAATCTCATAAATAACTGGAATCTTCTATTATCCATCGCTAGTAGTGTATGACACTACCAGCGATGGATGATAGAAGTAACAGGAAAAGTCGAAGAACAATTCTGAAAAGTCTTCCTTCTGTTCATAAAAAAACCCAGAAAGTTTGAGCTCAAGAGCACGATTGCAAAGCTCTGATGGTGTAACAAAAGGCTAGAAGCATCTACACTCCACAAAATCAACTGCATATACACTTATTCTGAACATTTGGAGAGATGTCTCTGAACTACACCGAAATCTTCACTATTGAGAAAAAAACAAGATTTTCGAAACAAATGCTTGCAAGACTGTCAAGACTCGTAAAAATCCATCACCAGCAGTTGACGTGTGTCGTTTACATCTAAAGTAGAGATTACAGAAGAGAACAAACACACTTGAAAGAGGAAATTGAAAGAAATCCCTTCAGAGCCGAAACGAAAAGCGCACTGAAGGCATGCGCTGCGGGCGCGCCGCGGAGGTACCTATGGGAACCTGGCCGGGGTCCACACTATAGCAATAAACGGATTATTTAGACGATACCTTTCATCACAACAACACTAGATAGTTGCGCAACTAACCTCATTGTTTCGAAAATCCAGAATTAATCACAAAAACCACTCCATCAATAGTCTACGATGTCTCAGCAAGTCGAAAAGAGCCAAACACTGGAGGTGATTGAGTGCAACCGCACGAAAATTTCAAACATAAACCTGAAAACGAGGAACTTACAGCAACATAAACGCCAACGCGACGAAGAGCAACGCGGAAAAGGATAAAACGGTAAAGAAACGCGCAAAAACAACAGAATCAAATAAACGGCGACTAAAATATGGACAAAGAGCGTAAACAGAGGACTCATCACCGTGGAGTTAGACGTTTGCTTGCTACGCGCCAAATCGATACGCAGCCTGCTCCGGATACCTCCCATTTCTCCGGCGGATACCTCCCATCTTCTGCTCCGGATACCCCCCATTTTCTGCTCCGGATACCTCCCATTTTCTGCTCCGGTTACCTCCCATTTCTGCTCCGGAGGCCTCCCATTTCTGCTCCGGACCCCTCCCATTTTCTCCGGCGCGACTCCGCCAGATTTGCCAGGCTCGCGCCGGACAAATTTGTCCGGCGCGAGCCTGGCAAATCTGCCAGGGTCGCGCCGGAGAAATGGCGGACCTTTGCAGCAGGGCCGGAGAAGCCTCCCATTTGCCTGGCAGTGATGTCAAGCGAGGGACCGCCCATTTGCCCCGCTCTCATTGGTCAATTGGGTCCGGCGCGAGTCTGGCAGTTTCGGCTTGCCCAGCGGAGGGGTCCGATCCATTGTCTGAGTAATACGGCTGTAAAGGTGGCAGGAAGACAATTGCTCTGTTGACAATCAAGTAGAATGCGCTCGTCACTCACCTACAAACATAGTTGGAAAAGTCAAAATCTTTTTTTTGAACACGTTTATTGCAGTAGTTTTCTGATTGTTGTCAACACATCGCCATTCCCTGCATTTTTGCATTTTCCATATGTCTGTTCATAGATACTGCGCTGTTGAACATAAAAAGTATGAGGCTGATTCGTCGGGATTTTGGAAACCATGATTTGTATTTGTGGTTCGAGTTTTTCAAAATTGTTTGAAGCTTTCTCGAGTTTATTACTCAGATTTGCTTAGTATTTTATTTGATTCTTACATACATTTTTGGTGGATTTGCGATGTTTGCAATTCAAGCTTTTCGCGACTTTCTTTATTCAAAAAACAATAACTAGCGGTTGACACAGTTTTATAATGCAACAGTATGTTAACTGCGCGACTCATTTCGCATCAAAGAATGATTTTTTTTGCCCATGCATTGCATCCATATGCTTTTTTTCATTAGGACACGTGTCGGCAGTTTCATAAACAGTGTGTACTTATCAAGCATTAGTGTGGTTTGATCTCACTTCTGTGCTCCTATTTGCTAATTTTCAACCTTTAATACTGCGCTAACTTCGATGCATTTGCAAAATATATAGCAGCTACATCTGTGTGTATGTGAATAGCACGAGGAACACTCAACAAATATTAGGACTTTCCAGTGGCTGTTGCAAGTGTTTTCTTGGTCTGGCAGGCCCATCCTACATTCACAGTGGTTTCGTGGTATCATTTTTCCGAAACAATTGCGTGTTTCCACTTCTCGGAAA